GGGCTTGCCGTAACGAGGTGAACGACGACCAGGATGCCATCCTGTGTGAGGCCTCCTGCCAGAAATGGTTCCACCGGGAGTGCACGGGCATGACAGAGAACGCCTACGGGCTGCTCACCACTGAGGCCTCCGCCGTCTGGGCCTGTGACTTCTGCCTGAAAACCAAGGAGATCCAATCTGTGTACGTCCGTGAGGGCATGGGACAGCTGGTGGCTGCCAACGATGGCTGATGCCCCCACCAACCCCACGTTGTACAGAACCCCACGCTGTTTTAGGACCAAACCCCCTTTTGTAGCCGTCGGACCCACGAGTACAGGATGGCACCCGGTGATGCTCCCCACCGCCGTGGACTCTGGCTGTGCAGCACCGGGATGGGGCTGTGGGGGTCTCCACGGTGGCTGAGCCTTCCCCGTGCCCCCGGGGTGGGGTCTGTGTGATGCCCAGGCCCGCTGCCCCCTCTTCCCCCCCCTCAGATCCGGTGTCTCCCTCCCTGAGCTCGGTGCGGTTCCGGTCCCCCCGTTCCCCTCCCCGATTTTAGCAGAGCGGTAATGGAAACTTTTGTATCGTCGCTATAAAACTCTGAAACCGGCTTGTCCGTGTCTGCGTCCGCTGCCTTCCGCTCCCCCCGCCCCCCTTCTGTCGTTGCCCGCCCCTTCGGGCCGTCGCTGCCATTGGCTGCGTTCATCACGTGCGCGCCCCGTCCCGAGGGCGGTGACCGGGACCGGGAGAAAGTTACGGAGCGGGACCGGGTCCGGCTGCGCCTCCGAGCGCCTCCAGGTACCGCCCGCCCCAGCATCGTTCCGTTCTATTCCGCCCCGTCCCGTCGGGGCCGCTTCGCCCTGAGCTTCCCCGCTTCCATCCCGGCCGCTTCCCACTGAGCTCCGGCCCGGTGCGCTTCGTCCCTCCTCGGGACGCCTCAGGTCCCGGGATTGGCACCGGAGAGCTTCCCGGAACACCGCCGACTATGGCCGCGAGATTTCACCGGGCAGCGCTCCGGGATGCGCGCCCGTCGGGTCGGACCCTCACCGGAACCCCCCACCCTCAATACACACAGACCCCCCTCGGCCGTTTTGGGGAGGTGCGGTACCGAAAGGAAGAGGGGCTCCGTGCCCCCCTCACCCCCCGGAGCGCTGCTCTGTGTGTCGGTGCCGCCGTTTCCTTCCTGCGGGGCCCCGCGCACCTGCCGGGCGGCATCACCAAGGCTAAAAATACCGCGGTGGTAACCGGGGAGGGGGGATGAGGGGGCGGGCCGGACGGGGGGGGATAACGGGGCTGGGGGAGCGCTTCCCGTAGCGCGCTCCCGACCGCATCCAGCCCCGGTTCTCCCCCTTCTCCCCACGGGGACTTTTCTCCCCCCGGTACCGGGGCTCTGAGCGCCGCTGGGTCCGTGCTGCCCCCCGGGGGGTGGGGAGGCGGGGATGGTCGGGGGGGGGGGGCGGTGCCTTCACAGCTGTGCGGGGAATGTGCAGAATCCGCGGGCACCGCGACCGCCCCGTGCCCGATCCCAGCTCGTTGCCGGTACCGGAGCGGGAGGGGGGAAAGGTGCGGCCGGGGCTGAAGCCGCTGTTATCGGGGAGGGGAGATCCCGGGGGTCCCAACGCAGCCGGTGCGGGGATCGCGGCGCTGCCACCCGTTGCCCTTTGCTCTGAGTTCATCAATTCGTTTTGCCAGGCAAATCAACCCAGGGCGGGCACGGGGTGAGGTCGGTCCGTCCGTATGTCTGTTTTATCTGTTCATGTGTCTGTCCGTCCCCTTGTCCATCTGTCCGTCCGTGTCCGTCTCTTCGCAGGGGGGACCCGCAGCCATGGCTCAGAAATCGGACTCCCGAGACTCGGATAACAGTTGGGTGCTGACGGGCACGGAGGTGAGGGCGTGGGGCCGGGGTGGGGGGCAATGGGGGGGGATGGGGTCGGGGGTCCCAATGGCCGCTTGTCATCCCCAGGGGCTGCCTGTGGACACGGTGGGTCCGGAGCGGGATTCAGCCTCTCATGATGATGAGGACGAAGAGGAAGGGGAGGAGGAAGGAAACCCGGATGCGGGCACAGGCACGTGGGGAGGGGGCAGTGCTGAGGTCCCCGATACCGGGCTGGGTTCTTCTGCTCACCTCCGGCTTCTGCCCCTCCGCAGTTGATGGCAGTGAGGATGGAGCCGCTTCCCTGGGTGAAAAACAGCACCCTGAGGTCGAGGTAAGCCGGGGGGGGGGGATGGTGGGAGCGGGGGTGCAGCGTGGGGATGCGTGACCCCAACCCCTGTGTACCCAGGGTGCAGAGGAACACTCGGATCTCGGTGCCGGCACGGAACTCCCTCCATCCGACCCTACAGAGCTCAGTACCGCGGGGAGCTGGGAGAAGGAACAGCACAACGCTGAGCCCGAACCGCGTGCTGAGGGCTGCACCGCAGGTCAGCACCGCGTGGGTCCGGGAGGGGGGGGCACCGAGCAGCAGATCCAGCCTGTGAACTCTCCCCATAACTCTTCATCCCTCCCCAGGGCCGCTGCTGGAGGAAGGGAGCTGCACCAGCAGTGATGACGACGTGGAGGGGCTGAGGCGACGGCAGGTCCATCAGCCCCGTGCTGGGACCCCCCCTCCTGCACCCATCCCGCGCCGTGTGATGCAAGATGAAGGCAACGAGGAGGGGCTCAGTGCCAACAAACTGCTGCTGGGAGCGCTGGCGTTGGTGGCTGTGGCTCTGCTGATCGTTTCTGGTGAGTTGGGAGTGCTGGGGTCGGGGAGGGGGCAGGTGGAGATCACCATTGCTGTCTTATTTTCTCCTCTCCAGGTGGTTTCTACGACACGGCAGACGGTGAGCAGGGAGGGCTGTGAGCAGGGCTGGGTTCTGTGCGCTCGATGTCACCGTGTGGTTCCTCCCCAGGTCCTGTGGATGTGATGAGCCACGATGCAACAGACGTGGAGCAGGAAGCTGTGCCCGACAACGGCAGCGTAAGGAGTGGGGCTGCAAAAGGGGCTGCCGCATCCTGAGCACCCCCAGGGCTGCATCCCACTCCCTCTCCCCCCAGGATTCCCCACAGAAGCCCCCCCTGGACGGTGGGGATGTGCACAGCATGCAGTCCATGAGCATGCTGCTGGACCGCCTGGCCAAGGAGAACCAGGACATCCGCCTGATGCAGGCTGAGCTGCAGGTGGGTGCGCAGCACTGTGTCCCCCCAGGGCCACCACTCGGAGCTGCCTTTTGCCTTCACACCCCTCCCTGACCCCCCACCTCTCCCCCAGGCTCACAAGGAAGAGCTGCAGGCGCTGCTGCAACAAAGCGAAGGTGCAGCAGCAGCAGCTGGGGTGCAGCAGCAGAGTTTGGCCAAGGAAAACGCCGAGCTCCGTGCAGCACTGCAGCGTGAAGCCGAGGCACTGCGGGCTGCACGCGCTGAGCTGCAACGCCTGCAGGCCCGGGGGGGTCCCACTGACCCCCAGCCCCCACACAAGGAGCAGCTTCATGATCCCAGTGCTGCAGTGAATGGGGAGGGGGCCCGGCATGAGGCACGGCACCGTGGGCTGTTGGAGTCGGTGCAGCACGAGCTGGCAGCTGCCCTGCAGAGAGCGCAGGGTGCAGGGGGGCTGGAGGGGCTCAAAGAGGAGCTGAGGGTGCTGGAGGAGCGCCTGAGCCGGGAGCTGGGGGGGTCCGAGGGGGTTGAGGCATTCCCTGGGCATTGGAAAAAGGGATTCAAGGCAGAAAAGAAGGAGAGGGGGTGGCACAAGCGGGACGGCCACCGCGAGCGGGGCAAAGCCCACGGCAAGGAGCACCATGGCAAGGAGCACCACGGCAAAGAGCACCACAGCAAGGAGCCCCGGCCCCACAGGGAGCACAAAGAGGGCAAATCTGGGGGGAAGTGGTCCCGTGGCCCCCGGGAACTGCCCCCCCTCAGCCATTCCCGAGCCCCCCAGGGCTGCTCAGGGGTGACCGACTGCGCTCACAAAGAGGGCCGTGAGGCGCTGGGGGCTGCGCTGGAGCCCGTGCAGAAGGCGCAGTTCCTGCAGTTGCTGGAGGGCTTCATGGGGAGGCTGGGCTGGGGGGAGCATTTCAGGGGGGTGGCGGCACGGTTGGACGGAGCTTTTGGGGTCAATGGGGTCTTCGCCCACGACCGGCGGCGCTTCGTGGACTTCGTGGAGGAGGTGGAGGAGATGCTGGAGGACGTGGCGCGGCGCGAGCGCGGTGACGAGGAGGCGGCCGACGGCTTCGAGGAGTTCGTGCTGCAGCACTACGCTGGGTGAGTGGGGTGGGGGGAAG